AAAGAAGTGTTTGAATGTGTTTTCTTTACTCTCCAATCATTCAGTATGCTGTGCTTTTCAAAGTCATGTAGCTAACCAGTGAGAACCTTTATCTGGTACTCCTAATATGCCAGCTACAGTGTCCTTAAACAGAAATCACAAATTCTGTGAATATATTTGTATTTGTCTATTGTTTTATGATAGTAATATATAATATTGCAAAACATAAATAGCTGAAAATAGTAATTATTTTTGAAACCCAAAAGACTTCTTAAAAACATTAATTTCTAAGCATTCAGACATGGACACAGTTGTTTTTTTTAAAGTAGGAAAATGGATTGTTTAAAACAACAGTTTACTTGATATATATTTTCTTTCAAAATGACTTACATTATTTTTGGTAACACTAACAAGGCAGGAAGTCTTGTATACCACTTGTAAATTAATATACAGTAATTAACAGTAACAGAAGATTAATTTCTCTTGTTATGATGAAAGTAATGAGTCCATTTTTGTCAATTCCAAATTATCATGAGTTTCTACAGAAAGATTCTCTTGAGTTTGTGGCTTTTGAGGTTTACCATTTTCATTTCAGTTTAGGACAGTTCAAAGTATAGAAATTGGCTTTTTCCAAAGGCTATTTTATTGATATTTACAATCATTTTTCCAACCAGAATGTCAAATTTTGAGCAGTTTCACTTCGACTTTTACCAGTCCAATTATACCATAGATGACCAGGAAGAAGGTTACAACAGTTATGGATCTAATGAAAACCTCTGTGGAAACAGAAAGTAAGTATGCTACCAAAAAAAAAAAAAAAAAGAGAAAAAAGGCAATCTCAAAGCTCAAATGAAATTAATGACAAAAACCAGCAGGCAGTTGCCAAAAAAGGATTGCATAATCAATACAGTGGAAGTTTTAGTGGAGAAATACAAGCCATAGCAGTAGAAAGACAGGAAGAAGCTTATTCTTTCATTTTTTTCTTATATTTTTTAAACCTATTGGTGACTTCTGCCCATGGAAGAGGGGCACTGAGGGAAAGAAGTTCTGAGAGTTTCCCCTTAAGGAGATTTTGACACGACTGCGGTAGGAGGCTGGCTATTGCTGCAGCTTCCCTGTTCAGCAGCTGATGGATCCTGCTGGCTTTGGGGCTTGCAGGAGCAGGAAAGAGCTTCAAGAGATCATCTAGACTTTCCCCAAGGCAGAATTACTTATAATTAAACTTTTCTTTATAAAGGATTGGGTTTCGTGCTACTTTTATACGTACAGATGTTACATGTTGTTTACCTAATTGTAAAATTGAGTGACTGAGCTTCATGTGGATTTTAGGGCACATGTTCCTAGAAATTCTTTAAGCTCCTTCTCATATTCAAGGAAAAAAAAAGAAATCTAAATATATGGCTCTTTCATTAGCAGTATGGACATATCCGAGGAATGTCACCAGGCTGCTTGGTGGAAAAGTCAGCAGTGCCTAAATTTGTGGGTGCCCTCACAGCTCCTAAATTCCCTTTCCCGTCACTCCCAGCCTGGGGGCCTGCGCTGTGCCATTGCCCGAGCTGGATGGGCACAGAAGTGGGTGCAATGGGCTGCAGTGAAGGGAAGGGAAGGGAAGCAAAGCCATGGTCAGCAGCTCAGCATTCACTACACACGGCGGATACTGTGCCCAGAAAATTTCCAGGTTCCCCACATTGAAAATAGGTGAAAATTTAAACCGTGGTACATGATGAGCAGCTCTAAGCTGTTGTGAAGTTGCTCATTGCAGTTACTTGTTTTGCTGTGATGTGCTTCTTGTCCCAGGAGCCAGACGGGAGAGCAACCTCCAGCCAGTGGTTTTGCCCCATCGGAAATGCTTCTGTCCTCTCAGAGTTACACGGGTCAGATTTTGCAGCCAACGTACAGTCCCAACACTCTCTCTTATCTTAGTTACACTGACGGATTTGATGAGGAACCTCCTTTGCTAGAAGGTAAAAATAAAACCACGGATGATGTGCGTGGTTCCTGGGGGTGCCTTTTGCTTTTCTTTGCCAGCTAGTGGCAGTCACTAGAAAAACTGCAGCAGAGCTGCCAAACCTGGCTGTGCCAGCTTCAGCCAACAGCCCCTGGCCCCCAAATCTACATTTGCTTGATTTTGCCATGGATTCATTCAGCCTTATGGCATATGTAGCATATACTTTACTACCACTAGATGACAGCATAACAATAAGTTTTGCATTCACATTTCCAAATATTCTTTCCCACTCTGTGTTTATCCTGCATACGTATTGGAACATCTATAACTAATAAATACTGATAATAACCCTTTTTGCATATCTAGTAATAAATTTAATAGTTTGAAGATGCTAAATAGGTTGTTTCAGTGGGAAAGAAATTGAGAAAGCTGCTTTCAGCTTCAATTAGTTGATCATTTAACTACACGAACAATATCATTCTTTATGATGATTGAATCATCCTAATACTACTGGCTGATTTTGTAGTTTACAAAATACTTGTGCTACATTAAAAAAAATCAAAGAATTTGTTTGTGATTATTTCAGCATAATGTAAAAAGAACATATTCCGCCTGCTTTTGCATACTGGAAGGCAAGTGGATTTTTCACTACTTAAAAGATACTCCTACTGCCTTAAAAACAGCAAGATCACTCTATTTGATATAGATAACTGCTAGATCTTTACCTCTCAGACCTCCAAGCATTTAACTCCACAGGCAGCCCACCCTGTGAAAAGGATGTTGAAATACAACTGCTTCTGATCCTCAGGGCTCCAGAGATGTTCATATCTGTGTGCCAAATAAATCTGACCAAAGACACACAATTTAATACAGAACAACTTTATACAATGTTTTGGCTCAGCTCAAGGTAGTGGATCGGTGGACTAAGGTAAAGACTTGGCTTTCCAAACAGGTCTAACACATTGTCAGTCTCAGTAATTCTGGCACCCAGTTCTGAACCTAACTTTTCCCTTGCTGGAGCATCTCGGGGAAGATGATTACTCTTGCAAGCTGAAGTGTTTCTGCAGAAGTTACAAGAGAAATCTTTGCCCCAGTAAAGTTAATGGCAGAATTCCCGTTGACTTTAATGGGGAAGAATTTTGTTCTGTTTCTAGGGGTCCTCAGTAATTACTTTTTAAATGCAAAAAAAAGCTTATAAAGCACTGCACAAAGTAGTAGTAACTTGCCTTGAAGGGAAGAATGTCATTTTTAAGTGCCTCTGGCAGTTCAGGCTTAAGACACATCTCTTGTCAGATTTGCCAGAATTAAAGCATATATCTCTGTCCTTGGTATTCTACAGTATCTTGAATTCTGCAGTTACTGCTAATTAGCATATTTTTCAACATCTAAGTTAGTGTGGCATTAGATATATGTGTTTTAAGTATAGGAAAAACAAATATTAACTCAAAAATGCTGAGGGCATTTTTTGGTTCACTGCCTAAAATTGGATTTAATAAATTAATATTCCAATTTAGAATCAGAGCTGACTCTCAAATGTACTGTGTATGTAGCAGGGACAGCATGTTCCTACTACAGAATACATCATCCTACAATATTATCTTCATTAAAGCGATTAATTTGTTTGCTTGTTTTGGGTTTTGTGGTAGCTAATGGGTTTCTGTAAAAGTGTTGTTTTCTTGTGAGCAATTAACAGTCCTGTAATTTCTCGTTGCAGAACTTGGGATCAATTTTGAGCATATATGGCAAAAAACATTAACAGTTCTAAATCCAATGAAGCCTGCGGATGGCAGCATTATGAATGAGACAGACCTTACCGGACCTATGGTTTTCTGTTTGGCCCTTGGAGCAACATTGCTGCTGGTAGGACGTGGCAGATATCTTGAGAGATTTCTTTTCTAACAAGTTAATGCCGAGGTGATAATGCATGCGAAGTTGCAGAAGATGTAGCATCGGCATAAAATGAGTCCTTTGCTGCCATTTGTTCTGAGATATGTATTAAAAAGTCTCCTTGCTTTGAAAGTACCTGCATAAAGTTTTAATGTAATATAGATATGATACTGGTGAAGTGATGTATTAATTCCAGTGGAAATAAAAGACCACACCATTTTTTGCGGTGGGATTTAATATGAGCAAAGGACAGATCTGTGCTGTGTATTTCCTGGGGAGGCTCTGCACCCAAAGCATGGCAGTGTGCCCTAAGTAAGGACCTAACAAGGAGGTTCTAAAAGAGGGAATAAAAAGCATGGCAGACCAGCCCAGTTTTTCTGACAGTCTTTCTACTGTTTTGAAATTGTCTTCTCTCAATGTTACTTTGGGGAGTGCAAAGCTATAAAAAAAATTATCTTTATGTAACTAAAATAATTTGAAAAAGAAAGTGGAAACAGCCTCTTCCCTCCTGCCTCAGATTTGCAATACCTTCCTATAAATTTTGCTAGTGCTTTCTTAGTTTATATTCTTTTTCTACATCATCTGCTAAACAAAATATGGTAGCCTGTGTTTAACCTCCTTCCTCTTTATAAATATAGCTTTCCTATAGGAGGAAAGTTGAACAGGGATTGTACACTACTCCTAAATTCATCTATTTATCACTGACAACAGGGGCTTTCCAGTGCTGCTGAAGTACAGCTCTGATTGTCGGCAGCAATTTATCAGACAGGGATAAGGTAGGACCATTCTGGGAAGGGCTTTACTGCTCTCGCAACTGAGGTGAGAGAAACGGGGCTCTAATTCTCCATTTCCTCTGTGATAAATAGTGCTGAATCAGAAGACTCTTGCAAGTTCTTACTCAATTTGTCAGTGCAGTACCTCGAATGTGCAAACTGCAATATAAATGGCAAGTATTATTATTAATGTCCCTATAAAAATAAAAATCCTTTAAAAGGGTGGAAGCAGCAGGAGGAAAGGGAATAAAAGGAAAAGAAAGTGGGAAGCTAGAGAAGACAGGCTATTTTCCACCTAGAGAAGTAAAGGTATGAGGGGAATAAAAGGAGAAAGTGTTGAAATTATTATAATCAGGAAAATGGCAGGAAAGCTGAAAGAAAAAAAGAATAAAAAAAGTGCATGCTGTTGATTTTGGTCTCTGGATAGCCAATAATTATAATGAATATTAAACTACTATTATTGAAATAAAGTACTTTAATTACCATATTTATTCTAGGATATTAAGCGTTTTAAGTATCATTAGAGAAACAACTCTTTTCAGTGCTCCAGTTTTAGGTCAGCAGAACCCCTCTGATACAATCTAGCGTTTTTGTGCCACAACTTCACAGCAATAGGTCTATGGGATTTCCATGGGCCATCTTATAAATTCAGGCAGCTCATTTTGTCTCAGATGCATTTGAATACTAAAGTGGCTCTTCAGCTGTGTAAGCTATGATATCCTTCTGTACTTGAATAATTCTCTTCTAATAGCACCAGGAACATAATTTGGTTGAGAGCTTGTTTCCAAAAATAATTTATAAATTTTATTTAGTTTCAGCTTTTTAACTATGGAAAAATATGCAAAGATATTCTTCAAATGGTAGCAGTTCTTTCAGAGCATAGAGAAAAAGAGGAAAGGATTGTTAGCCTGGCAGCAGGACTTGATCTTCCTCATACTGGCATAAAACAGGGCAGCTCCATTGCAGATAGAGAAACAACAGCAGTGCGAAAGTTAGCAGAAGCCCGAGTCTCAGCTGCTTTGCATTTTACATAGTCATTCGTACGAAATCAGACTTCCCCATCCACTTAAACTAAGGATAGTAGTACCCACTCTAGGCAGATGCAAACAAGTGCACAAAGTCTGACTTTCTTCTAACCTTGTTCCTTCCGCAGGACAAATTTAGCTCTTTCCATTCATCAAAGCCTGCCAGACTAATCAAGCCTGATTCTGGTTTTGCTTACATCACTGTGAATTGAGAGTATTCCCGTGTGTGTGAGTCAATATATTTACATATGTTAAGAAAGACTAGAATTGGAACCAACATGTTCAGCTGGTTTTTTTTTCTCTCCCATTCTCCTGCACCACAAACCAAACATCTCACCAAGTGGAAATTTCAGTTAGCTGCTACTGCCAGTGCTCCCTTCACCTCTGTCTCAGTAATTTCTTAATATTAAACTAAGATGCTAAATAGTGCTGTGTGGAATAATTAAATACACTGAAACAAACAGTCTAAAAGCTTGTAGTTGTTGTTGCATCTGTTTGAGACAGAGCTTTTCTTAGTTGGTCTATAGTAAAGGCTGCCCCAAACTGTTGCGGATGTTAAACTTACTTACTACAAATCTTTAATGACTGAAATTGTAATTGATAATAATCTGAGCTAGTACTGCTCTCCCACACTATCTCTAGCAATCATTAATTTTATTTGGTGAAGCAATTTTTCCTTATTATTTTATACCAGAAGTATGCAAATGCCAGCAAAGGACTCTGTACCTAAATAGGAAGACTTTCTTATGCTGTTAGTTCAGGAATAGAGTATTTCTTTACAGTGGAATGCACTGGCGGGGGAAAGGCCAACACTCGGGATGTTGTGAGGATATAGGCAACCTGGCTGTACCTGACCTAACCTTGAGGACTGGAACCAGAGGAGAGCTCAGCAATGAGCCAGGTCAAGCTGAAAGCAGGATAACGGTGCTGATGTAGAGACAGGTCTTACTAACTGAGGCTGCCTTTCTCATAAGCATGCACTGCTCTCCAACTGGAGCTGGTGAGCTGTCAGAGTCTGCAACATTAGGACTTTCAGGTTGTGTCATCTCTAGATTAGGCTCTCTCCACTCTCTCTCCACAGCTCAAATACAACTGGCATCCAGTGATCAGTTTCCACCCAAATGGATACAGGAGGCAGAGAAGCAGGGTCCTCAAAGACAGTTGGTTTCCCCCAGGTTTTATTAAAATGTATGGATGAGTAAAGTAGGAGATCTCAATCCTCCCTAACCATCATGGAAGAGATACTTGTAAATATTGCAAACCATGAAAAAAGCTTCATCAATATTTCCACTGTATCCATCACAAGAGAATCCAACCATAAGCTAAAACATTATTAGGAAACTGGGACCCTCTATTAGTTTTCATTCTCATGTGGTTTATCATATGCAATATATAATGTGGTCAATATATAGATGTGTGTATGCATAAACACACCTGTGTTTTAAGTATGTATATCATAGAATCATAGAATCGTAGAATAGTTTGGGTTGGAAGGGACCTTTAAAGGTCATCTAGTCCAACCCCCCTGCTGTGGGCAGGGACATCTTCAACTAGATCAGGTTGCTCAGAGCCCCCTCCAACCTGACCTTGAAGGTTTCCAGGGATGGGGCATCCACCACCTCTCTGGGCAACCTGTGCCAGTGTTTCACCACCCCCAGCGTAAAAAAATTCTTCCTTCTAGCTAGTCTAAATCTACCCTCTTTTAGTTTAAAAACATTCCCCCTTGTCCTGTCGCAACAGGCCCTGCTCAACAGTTTGCCGCCATCTTTTTTATAAGCCCCCTTGAAGTACTGATAGGCTGCAATAAGGTCTCCCCGAAGCCTTCTCTTCTCTAGGCTGAACAACCCCAACTCTCTCAGCCTTTCTTCAGAGGAGAGGTGTTCCATCCCTCTGATCATTTTCATGGCCCTCTTCTGGACCCGCTCCAACGGGTCCGTGTCTTTCTTCTGCTGAGGTCTCCAGAGCTGGACGCCGTACTGCAGGTGGGGCCTCAGCAGAGCAGAGTAGAGGGGCAGAATCACTTCCCTCGACCTGCTGGCCACGCTTCTTTTGATGCAGCCCAGGATAGGACTGGCCTTCTGGGCTGCGAGTCCAGAAGTAGTAGTTTTGGATATACACCAGTCCCCAGGGTGACCATTATTGCAGATATAAAGTGGGTGCTCTTTTAGACAATTAAAAGGTATGGAAAAATAAAGTATTTTGAGCTTTCTCCTTCACAGATGCACGTTATCTTTACGATACAAAGTTTCAACACAAAGCAAACAAAACCATCTTCATCCCAACCACTGTTTATTTCTGATGTACAAATGTTTATTTCTGACGTACAGATGTGAAAATGACAGTATTGCATAGCCGACATTCAGTATTTCATTTGTTAGAAGCTTGAATAGAGAGAAACAATATTTAACAGTCTTTTGTGAGTGTTCATTTTTGGGAGTGAACAATGGCCTCACGCCTGGAGGTGATCCTTCAAAATGATTGCAGGAGATGAAGAAATCGGTGGTGCTGTGGCCACTGTTGCCTGTTGTACTAGCTTTGTGTATAAATTAGAAAACATTAGGCTCCAGGCTGTCAGGCTGGTACCTTTCACAGGCACTAAATTCACACAAAGGAATAAAACCTGGAAGAAAAAAACACCCGGGGAATTTTTCATTCGTTGGAACAAAAAAAGAACACAAGCTGACAGTAACTACTAAGCTTTATGTTAAAATGAACATGCTGTATTGATCTAACCACAGAGATGTGTCTTTCTCATGATAATCAAGGGGAAGAATGGACACATTCACCCTGAAAACCAGCATACTTTCAGCAAAATTTTACTTATTTTTTGCAGGCCTGCTTAAAGCTGGAGGTTTGTAGTAAAATGTGAAGCATAGCAAGTAAGTGGGGTCATAATTTTACTTAGGACACTTTTCCACAGCCCCATGCACACCTATTGGAAAGATTTTTCCTGACACTAAAATGTGCTTTCCATAATTTCTTCTCAGTTTGTTACCAGTTAGACCTTCCCAAGTCTCCCCAACCAATTCTCGTCCTGTTCAGAGCCCAATGACAATAAGACTAGGAATCAGCCTTATAACTTGAAATTAGCGACAAGCACGTTCTCACAATTGTACCTTGGAATTTTTTGATGCAAAAATCACCCAAAAGTATCAGCTGTGGTTTACAATTGAACTGATGTAGGTGAAGCGGAGAGAGAGTGTCAACAAGAAAAAGTAACAAACCTAGTGCTTGCCTTCTGTCTTCTCCCACCACTTTGCAATCACTTGCTCACTTCTGACGCTTCATGCTTACTCATATTTATTCCAGGCAGGAAAAGTTCATTTCGGCTATGTGTATGGCCTGAGTGCCATTGGGTGCCTTGCTATGCATGCCCTCCTGAACCTGATGAGCATCCCAGGAGTCTCGCACGGCTGCGTTGCAAGTGTCTTGGGCTATTGCCTGCTGCCCATGGTGATCTTGTCCTCTTCTGCAGTTGTCTTCTCGCTACAGTAAGTACCAGTCCGTGGCAACAGGAATCATATGGAGGACAGTAAGTCAGAAGGCAGCTGTTATGCAAAACATTTTGTAAATGGTTATGTAGTGAATTTTGGCTTCCAAAACTGTGAGGAAAAATACTATTTTGTTTGTGTATGTAGGTGGATATGGGCAAAACTGGACTGTTTTTGAGAGGGGTGATATATATTCATTTTAATATGGGTCCTTAATTCCAGTGTTTCCCACTTGGAGTGAGAGTGCCTTTGATTTTTGCAGCAGCCTCGGATGTGATTTTTGTTTTGCAGAGCCAACAGTGGCCAAACTCAGCTATCAATTTGAAAAGTGACTGCCGGACTTTGGTTTTATATAGCTGGTTCTCCTGTTCCTTTTTTGTTCATAGTATCAGGCTCCCATCCTTATGCTTCCTTTCCTTCTGTAGACCGGCTTCTGTGTGACAGAGTGAAATAAGCAACCCTTAATGATTTGGAGCATTAGAACAAGTGTTTAAGATGTAGTGGTGTCGTACACTTGGAGGTATAGATGTGGTGTAATTGCAAACCTGAAAATAACTGAAAACGTTGAAAAAACAAATGTGTGGTGGCATATATATCTGTGCGTGTGTGGGGGGGTGTTCAGTAATATGCCTATGAATAGGAAACTTGTCTGCAAGCCTCTCCTTCCTCCTCATTCGGTAAGCCTTTTGAGATGGAGACTGTGTTTACCTCCCTGTTCACATACAGCAAAGTACAAGGAAGCTCCAGGTCTTGCCTGAAAGCCTTGAGCAGTACTTTTATCCCTCGTTAACACGTTATTAATAATGGTTCCCCTCCGTAGTCTTTGTTGTTCACTCTCATTTTTAACTCTCCAATCTGCAATGTACGGGACTTGGCAGCTGATGAATAAGAAAGTGCCCCTGTTTGTTTTCTTTGGAAAAGCAGCGATTTTATATGTGTATATATTATTTTTTAAGGAAATTATATAGTGGAATGAAGATTTTGGCACAATCCTTGTTGCGTGTTTCTGTGGAGCTATGATGGGTTAACCTGACCATATTCCATGTATTAAACTGTTTCTGAGCTGTCCTTGATGAGATGAACAGTAGTGACACTGAAGAAGTCATTTATTCTCTGTTCTCCTACACTTCCCATATTTTCTTGATTAGCCTGTTTAATAATCCACCCTAATAAAAGGTGCAGATACATAATCGTAGGACAGATGGGGCGAACTCCAAACCAGCTGTTACAACTGTGCCAGGGTACTGTTGTCTGTACAAGGAATCCCCAAGCACACGCTGCACATTTGTAAAATGCTGCGAATTTACAGAAAGCACATCTTTTGAAAATCTAGAAATACTATACTGTGATAGCCTTTACAAAATTAAACCATTATTTCTGAAATGAATTGATAATGTTAAGTGCCTATCTACAGGATTCTGCAGCCCTTTCTCATTCACTGTATGAAACTGCTTGAACACAGCAAGTACCAAGGTTAACTACTATGAACACGCTATGAAATTAAGTGGCAACTTTTAAATCCAACATACATTTCATTATTTTTAATTTAAAAAAGTATTTAAAATGGCAAAGGAAAGAGGGCAATACATTCATGATTTTTTAAAATATTTGTAAAAATGTTATTTCTGTCTATTTCAAAGTGTAAAGAACTAACTTCAATGTTTGTTTTCACAGAAAATATACCTAAGGTAATGCACACATCTATTGCAAAGATACATACTAATCCAACAATTTTCGATTTTCATTATTAGCTGTTTCACTGTAACTGAATAAAGCATAATATGGAATGTTTTGGGCACTGAACAGTACCAAAGAGAAAACCAGTTCTCTTATGCAAACGTGCATGGAACCAGATTTGTTCGTGCCCATCTATGCTGATATCACGTCTGAGCCCAAGTTGATTAGGTCTCCTTTTGGGGAGAGACTTCAGCAGACTTTTGTCCTGGAAAAAAACACAATTCTTTACTATCAAATCCCTGAACAGAGTGGTTAAGCCATGTCCTTGACTGAACAGTGAAGGAAATGAGAGTAAGAGTGGAGAAAGGAATTCTTAGACCCAACTGATGCAAAGGACCCATTTGGTGACTGCATCTGCAGGTTGTGAGAGAGAGGAGTGGAGAGGGTCCACTGATGTCTGTCCCCCCGGCTCAGTCTCATGCCAGTACACCCCCAGTCCTCTTGGTCACTGTGAGCATGACATCTGCCTTTTGCCCCTCTCCTGTGCTTGAGGATTTGGCCCTCATGGACATGCCAGACAGAAGCTCTCTGCTAAAGCTAAACCATTCCTTTTGGCAGTAACATGCTGTTAGATCAAGGACTGAATTTATAAGTGCACAGAAGTATCTCTTGGATCCAATACGATTTTATGTTACCTTTCCATCCTGCTCACTGCCAGTCGTGGAGCAAACCATGAGAGGCCATTGGACTTCAGTGCAAGGCAGAACAGCCACAGCTCTAAATTGTACTGCCTTGTGATAGCCCCCTAAAGAGTCATTATGCTAGCTGAGAATTGTCATCGCACAGTATGTTCCTGTTACGTCCCATCCCTCTGCCAGCATGGGTACCTGCTCAAAGAGCCATCCATACCAGCTCTGAATTTCTGGCTAGCTGTTCAAGTGAGCATCTTAGCATCTCCGCTTGGAGCAGAGGCCAAGAGCTTGGTTCACAGAGCCCAGTGTAATTTCCCTGAATGCCACTGTATAGGTTTAAAGAACACTTAAGCTGAGGATATTAAACCACATAGTCTTTAATGTTTTCTTTTTAACGGGTTGAAGTCGCAATGAGGTGCTGAGTCACCTTAAAATCAATTCTCTCCTTCCTCCCTCAAAGTCCCAAGAGCTGACAACACCAAGTGCCTTACTGGCCTGGGGACTGGACTGCCAAGAAATGAACTATTTTATGTGATGTGATTGCATTAAATAAACTAAGTCAATTAAATAAGGAGAGCTTAGTGGAGATTATTTCTGATAAATGGACCTAAGTAAGTATATGTAGTCTGTTTCTCACTTCTGGTTCTGTTTTGCTGATACTTTGGACAAGTGGGGCACCAGGAAGTCCTTTAGCAAGTGGCAGAGGTTCATTCATTCTCCATGTCCTTGAGACTGACACAGTGAAAGTGTGTGATGTAGCCAACCTCATTATGTACTTCAGCAGCGTATTACGCGCATGATCTCATGCATTTTACAGAAGGAGGCTGCAAATACAGAGTGCAAATAAAGCATATGTGAAACATTATTTATTGGCAAGATTTTGTTCCTACAAGGTTTAATAGTGAGCTCTCCATAATATGCAGGAATATTTCAGTGGGGTTTTGACCATAGTCCCATAATCATCAGTTCTCCAGGCCACCCTGCGCCTGAGAGATGGCAGAATGTAACTCCAGAAGGGCCCAGCTGTAACCAAGGGGCAGTGTGGAAAGCCACCGTCCTTTCAGTGTGCAGAGAAGGATGCCAGGATATTTTTCCTCAGTGGTTCTTTTCCCAGCCCTTACTTTCTACTCAGTGTGCACCCTTTTTTAAAAGACCAGTTGAGCTTTCTTCTGGGAGGCAGTCAACACCTTTCTGCATGGTCAGCTGCAGTGTAATTCTTTAAGAGCCTCACTGAGAGTCCAAGGCACACTTAAAACCTGTGCCATGTGTTACAAAAATGCAGCCTCTCCAGGTCATCAGGCTGCCTGATGGAAGATTAGGTCTGTAGTGTCATTTTAGATCCTAACAACTTCTACAGGATGATTTTGGCTGCAATAGGATCTTTGCTAGCTTTAAAATTAAACTTCAGCTGCTGCCTCTGCTGGAGCCCCGAAGATTTTTTTTGAAATGCACTTGTCCTTTTAGCAGTACTACTGATGAAGCTACTGCTTTTATCCATGATGAAGAAACTACCTTTTGTTTCCTGTTACTATTTTAATTTGTTTCTCAGGCTTGACTTTCATTATGTCAGTCAGTCCTTGGTTCTTCCAGTGGCTGTTACCTTATCAATAACAAGTTGCTAGACGTGAACTTGAGTTTGAGAAGATTTAATGCTACACTTACTAACGCGTGGATTCTGTCGTGTTTCCTTTGTTTTTTCTCCTAGGGGAATCCTGGGAACTTTGTTAGCTCTGCTTATTATTGGATGGTGCAGTTTGTCAGCCTCCAAAATTTTTACCTCTGCATTGGCTATGGAAGGACAGCAGCTTCTCATTGCCTACCCGTGTGCTTTACTCTATGGACTTTTTGCACTTCTAACAGTTTTCTGAGATGTATTTTCTGTTAGCCTTATTACAGTCTGTTTATGGTTGTTGGAGGGGCAAGGGGTTATTTACTTATTTTTAGATTGCCTAGAGTTGCATTATGTTCCATTACCAAAATTAGATTATATGACTTACCTTTTATTTGCCTAATGGCTGATAATGAAATAAAAAATCAAGCTAACAGGTATATGACTGCAATAATGGTGTTTTGAAAGTCTTACAGCTTTACGAAAAACATTTGTATTGAGAAGGTAGTAAAAGTGAAAAAATTTGAAATAAATGATAATTTAAAAAAAAAATTCTGAGTGTTAATATATAATACATATACTAGAGAGTAACTGGAAAGCAATAATGTAAATATTTAATAGACCTAGTAAATCAAGTGAAAATACAAATTTATTTGTTTCAAAAAAACCCAGCTTGCCATCTTACATGATTACTAATTAATACCCAGAATTTATGTGTGGGGGTTTGGGTTTTTTTTAACAGAAGAGTGAGTGGCCCTGCTTTGTGATGTTGAAGAATTGTCCAAGAACAGGTTGCTACAACAGAGGGAGGGAACTAGGAATGTCATCTTGTTTGGCTTGTTGTTTTTTTAAGAGGTGTTGCTGTCCAAAACACTATTGTACTGTTTGTAATGTACAGTAATGTTATATTTTAAAATTGCCACTAAACCACCGCCTGCTGTCACTGCAGAAAAGCACCACACAAAGCAAAGGCAACTCCTAAAAATGTCTCCTGAAAGGCAGAACTGTATTTGAGCAAGCAA